ATGTGTATGTATATGTATATGCGTGTGTATGTGTGTGAGTGTGTATGATGCTTCTGTAACAACTCCATGGTACTTGGTTTTACCATCTATGTTGGTATTTTCTTATACCCACAGCCTCTGCTGAACCCTCCTCCAGAGTCTCACTGGGGCCCTGACTCTCAAAGACTTTTCTAGTATTGCACAAACTTTGGAGCCCAGAGCTGTAATAACTTGTAATATGAAGCTAGGCCCCATGCCTAGAATGGATTCCTCCTTCCCACTCTCATCTCCATCTTATTCCATGTTTGTTGAATTGATCTGTACCTCGCGAAGGTCTCCTACTCCTCTAGTGGTGTCCTGGGGGTCTGCCATAGGTTCAAGGATGAGTTTGGCACATAGCATATGTATTTAACAGATACTCGTTGATTGGCTGACTGATTAACAAGGAGTGCTATTAAAAAAAGTGTAAAACTCATGGGCAAAACTCCCAAGTGCAGGATGAATCAGATTAAAATGTCATTGGGACATGTTTCACAAAATAAATAAAAATACAATACAACAGAGATAATAGTCATGGGTCGTTTTCCTGGTCAATGTGCGGCCTGCTGGGATCCCCTTACATTTGAGTTTGACCCCACTGGTGTGAAAAACACTAGTATCTAGGAAATGTAGGAGCAGCCAAGGAAGTGGGTTGATCCTGTAGTTAGACCTAACAGATGGACAGCCTTTGAGCTTCACTGAGACCTGTGTAATATGAAAAGAACTAGAGAAAACCTCCAGGGTGTTGTGCAGACCCAGTCTCCTCTGAAGGATGCATGGGACGGTTTGGGTAAAATATGGATATCTCTCAAAGCCTGCGTGCCACAGAACAAGTGCCAATCTCTATACATAGAGGAGACTTCACCAAAGACTCCCTCTATCAATGACATCAGGTCTGATTTAGAGGAAAAATGACCAAAAAGCATGAGAAGGCATGAGATGAAAAGCCTTGAAAGGGCTGTGATCTGTCTCCATTGGGAGGAGGACATGGATCAATGAAGTCACAGGTCCAAGGAAGTGTTGAAGAATTATTAAATTGAGGTGTGGGGACTGGGTCAGTTATTATCAATCAGACTCTGGTGGTCATTTCACAGACTTAAAGAGTGTCAGAGTTGAAAAGGACCTCAGTGGACATCCAATCCAACCCATATCTAAGCAAGTGTCATAGTGGGTGGAGAGTCAGAAAGACCTGGATTTGAATCCTACTTCTGACACTTACTAACTGTGTGACCCTGGGCAAGTCACTTAACTTCATTGTGCCTCAGTTTACCTATCTGTAAAATTAGGATAAGAATAGTATCTACCTGCTTGCCTTCTGAATGGGTGGGAAAGGGGCTGGAGGGAGAGAATTTGGAACTTAAAATTTAAAAAAAAAATGAATATAAAAACCCTACCTAACACCCTCCCCCCTGGAAAAAAGAATAGCATCTACCTTACCAGGGTTGTTGTGAGGATCAAATAAGGTAACATATGTAAAGTGCTTTGCCAGTCTTAGAGCTCTTTGTTATATAAATGCTAGCTAGTCATTAAGTATGCCCCCCATGTTTCTGACTCTGTCCCTGCTAGAGTCTTCTCACCTGGATCCAACGATCCCCACGGTTCATGTACTGGAAACAGATCTTAAGTTTGCAGTCAGTTTTCTCTATCAGGTTCTTTATCTCCTTGAGGAACAGGTAATTGTCCTTCATGCTGAACAGTGCCAGAGAGGAGGGAAGGGGGAAGAGAGAAGAACAAAGAGGGACTAAGGCTCACTGAGGGGTCAGGGAGAAGAGCTGGATCAGCGTGGGTGCTCACAGCTCCCTCTAGTAGGTCTTTAGGGGAGAGACATTCAAGGATATAACTCAAGTAATCTCTTAAACCCAGACACACACTTGGTGTTAGCACAATGGCCAACTAAAAGAATGGGAAAAATGTCGCTGAAGGGGTGACCTCATCACCTCCAAGTCCAGTCAGATTTTGAAGACTAAGATCTATTTGCTGGGCCTGTTCTAGAGGGAGGGTGATGGACCCAACAACATCCGGAATCGTCTTTTTCAGCCTAAGGCATCCATTATCAATCCACAAGCATTACATTTCTACAACGTGCCAGGCACTGGGCTAGGAACTGAGAATACAAATAAACGGAGATGGTTCCTGTTTTTTCTGAGTATAAATTCTACGTTATTTTTCATTCATCTTCTTCTAGCATCCTTTCTATGGCTTGCCCAACATGGGTTTGAAATGGCTCATTCCTTGGGAGGCAGTAAACGAATACTGTATAGGGCAATCCTGTCAACCTCTCCACCTTCAAGAAACACAGTGTGGTTGATTAGAATGGAATCTCCATCTTTCCTGTGGTGGGGAAAGAGGAGCAGCTTAGTTGGGGTCCCCAACATGGCTGCACTTTGATGTTTCATTAAGATGGAGACTTTGCTTATTTCTCAAGGACTAAGGGATAACTAAGGCTTCCCCCTGTACCTCTCAAAGCCTTTTTGAGTCTCATTTATGGGTAGACTTGGAGGGTCTCAATGGATCCAAAGAATACCCGTGGTAATTGTAATAGGTAGCCAAGCCCAGGCTAGCTGCACCAGTCTATACCTTACCTGCATACTAAAACAGACACCGGAGGCAATGTGTTCGGGGTCATGATCCATGGGGCCACGTGGAAAGTCACTGTATCTGTATAGATTGGAGTCTGGGGAAGTCCCTAGGAGAGAGAATGGTAGAGAAAGTGGTAAGTAGGATGCCCTCTGGATAAATCATCTAAAATCAAAGATCTGAGGGGGAGCCAATAGTTCTCAATCAATGAGTCTTCCCTTTTGCACTTTCTTAATGGCATTGCAAGGGTCATTGGCTCTCCCTCAGTGGGGCAGTGTCCAATCTCCCCACTTCAACTAAGGGCATACTGATTGCTCCAGGTACAAAAATTTGTGGCTAAGGCTCTTCTACTGAGCCTCCAAGTGTGTTGAGGGTCTTCACTTTGGATTGCAGGTTGTCCAGCAGTAAAGGTGGGTTGTTCTGAGTTATTTATGCTCCCTTATCTCCCCTCCATCCAAATTCTCCTAAACTTAGGTGGCCAGGGTTAGGGGAGGGGATCCAAGGTGAAGGATCACAACCAGAGTGAGCAGTCCACGTCCACAGTTAAGGGTGAAATCTGGGGTCAGGGAATAGTTTTCCCCCATACAGAGGAAACTAGCCCATGTGGACAGCTAAGCTTATGACATGGGTATGACATTAGTCAGTGTGGTCAAGAGGAGGGAATAATCTTGGGTTCAAGTCTCTACACAGTCTACAGAGCTCTACTCTGCATAACCTTGAGCACATTTACTTTAACTCTCTGAGGTGAAGTTCTCTCAACTGTAAAACAGGGGATAACAGTCCTTATGCTACCAATATCCCAGGGTTATTGGAAACCAGCAAGGCTTTGTCAACTACAAAGTGTTCTTCCTCTCTTCTTTGCAGAGGTGGGGTCTGGGGGTGTGCAACATTGCATACATAGTTAATATATTGGTTAGTTTTGAATTCCCTCTCCACTTTCTTTTTAACTCTTTGTTACAAGGGATGGCTATCTGGGTTGGAGAGGGGAGAGGGATATATTGGGAAGGGAAGGTGACATTTGAAAAAAAAAGACATTAATAAAAAATTTTTAAAACTCTATGAAGTCCTATGGAAAGAAGAGCAATTTAATTTGGGCACACAGTAGACATTTGACATTCACATTGCTTTATTAGAGTTTACTGCTCACCGAACAACTGAATGTATTGTTGGAGGGCTAGACATATTCTGACTTAGGGGCATAGGGGCAGGAATTAGGCTGGTGCCTTAGAAATCAGCTGGTATCAGAGCTCAGAAAACCTGGCCCACCTGAGCTTTCCTAGCATTGTAGGCAAGCATGGGATAGTGGGAAAAGGAGCTGGATTTGAAGTCAGGACACTGGGCCCTGCTACTTCTTAGCTGTGTGACCCTGGGCAAGTCACATATACTGCCTCGTCTCTAAAATGGGAATAATAACTCTAGGTACATGAGGCTAAGGGCTTTGTAAACTATTTAAAACACTATGGAAATGGGAAGATCAGGGAGGCAACCTTTCTGGCCAACCATTTTCCTCAATGGTATAAAAGAAAAAGAGGCCCTGAGTTCAGATCCTGACTCTGCCGCTTACTCTCTGAAATGATTTTGGGCAAATCAATTCACCTCTGTTTTCTCATCTGTAAGATGGATTGGACTAGATAGTCTCCAAGCTTTAAAGGTATGAAATGAGTTATTAGGCATGATTCTAAAGGCTTTGAGGCCCAGTTGAATTGGAGTATGATACTGATGGCACACTTGAGGCCCGGAGTATAGTTGGTGGGGAGTTCATGCCCAAGAGCCTGCCCCTATTGGCCCTTTCCTGGGAATGATGGGAACAATAATGTCCTGACTCCGCCATCTTGGGGAATGACCCAGCTGGCCTTGGGGATACCTTCTAACCTTGGCCACCTCTCTCCTTTCTTTTCCCCTCCTTCTCCTTTCTTCTTCCACCTCCTGGGAAGCTCTCCTCTGCTCTCCCTCACCTTCCATCTCTTCCCAAGGCTCATGCCCTCTCACCTCCATCAGAAGTTCCAACAGGCTGACATGGATGGAGACCAGGCCAGAGAAACTCTCATCAGGGAATTGAAGGCCTTCCACAAAGAATTCCAGCTCGGCTTTGCCACCTGTGTACTTGACCACGTGGAAGAGCTTCTGCCGGCCGAGAATGTGGATGTAACGCCGGCCAAAGAAAGGGTCTGGAAGGGATATGGACTGTTAGCAAGAGAAAGGACTCCTTGGAGGGGCCTGTAGGTGGGAAGAGAATTCTGCATGGAACTGGGATGGCTGAGTAGGGAAGGAGAGAGAAGATGAAAGAGAATAGGGACTTAGCCTAGAGTCAGGATATGAAACGTATCTTTGCCAACATAAGATACCTCCTAGAACAATCCAGAGGCTTGGGTTCAAGGGCCAGCTGTCTCTAACCAGTCATGTGACCTTGGGCAAGTCATGGCACCTCTGTGAGCCTCAGTTTCTTCCTTGGTGAATGAAGGGGATTGGGCTAGAAGATTACATGGTTTGGAGCTGGGACTGACCTTAGGGATCATTTATTTCAATTTCTCATTTTGTAGAGGAAGAAATGGAGCCCCAGAGAAGTTATGTAATTAGACCAAGATCACCCAGCTGGTAACAAGAGAGCTAAGCTTTAAACTCTAGTGCCCTGATTCTAAATCCTGTGCTGTTTCCACTAGACCATCCTACCTTGAAGGTCTCTCAACCCTGACATTTACTATTATAAAGTCTTTTTAATCAACCAACTGGCAAGCATTCATTAAGGTCCTACTATGTGCTCTATACAATGCTCCATATAATTCTCTTAGTTGCAAAAGAAGTATTCAGGGCATTGGTAGAGGGAGTATCCTTACTGGGAGTTTTTTGTCCCCATGAACATCTGTTTATCTATCTACCCAGCCATCCATCTATCCATCCATCCATCCATCTATCCATCTATCTATCTATCTATATCTATTTGTCTGTCTGTCTATCCACCTACCTATCTTTTTCTACCTATTCTCTCCCTGTCTCTCACCTCTCTCTGTTTCTGTCTCTCTTTCTCTCTCTCTGTCTGTTTCCCTATCTATCCATCTATCTACCTCTCGCTTTCTCCCCACACACATATGTGTGTATGTGTGTGTATATACATATGTATATAAATTCATTCATTCATGTCTTTATTAATATGGTTCAGTAAAAAAAAAATGTGCCAGGTACTGTGCTGGGCACTAGGGATATAGACACCAAAGTGAGACAGTACCTGCCCTCTAGGAGTTTACATTCTACTGGGGGGGTTGGGGGGGTGGTACATCCTATTCACAGACAGGGAAAGATACAACATAAACACACTGTGATTGGAGGCGGGGTTCTTGGCACTATCAACAACTAGGGCAGCTAGTCGATGAGTAGTGAATAGGGCCAATGGACTTGGACCAGAGTTCAAATCCTGCCTCAGACACAAGTTAAGCAAACAAATCACTTAACCTCTCTGCACCTCATTTTCCTCATTTGAAAAAATGACATGAAATAAACATTTATTAAGTGCCTACTATGTGCTGGGCATTGTGCTAAGCACTTCATAAATATCTCATATGATCTTCACAACAATCCTGGGAGGTAGGTGCTATTATTATTTCCATTTTACAGTTGAGGAAACTGAGGAAGATAGAGGTTAAATGACTTGCTCAAGTTCACATGACTAGTAAGTGTCGGGGTTCTGATTTGAGCTCAGGTCTTCCTGATTCCAGGTCTAGCGCTCTGTGCACTGTGCCATCAGCTGCTTAAAATGAGCGGCCTGGACTCAGTGACCTCGAGGGTCCTTTCTAGAGGTCGATTTAAAAGCTTATGAGCCCCTGGCTTGGGAGGATCAGGAATGGTCTCTGGGAGGAGTTGCCACTTGAGGTGAAAGTTCCGGAGAGCCAGGAAATCCCAGGAGAAGGAGGTGAGGACAGAGGGCTTTCCGGACCTGCTGATTCTATTTTAACCTTTCATGCCCGAAGGCCTCTTCCTGCTCTGATGCCTGGTGATGCTCTAAGGCTGCTCTCAGTTGTGACAATCTGGGTTTCAACTTTCTATGTTCCATCAGCCTTTCCACCTTGGCCACCCACTGAATTATTTTGGCCAAAGGTGCTAAGGCCCGGCTAATCCGGGCGATTACCAATCCTACCATGGGCACAATGACGCTGCCAGGCTTTATACTCATGCTCTCAGCGACATTTCCAGTGATACTCTGGGGAAACCTCCAACTCCAAAGGTCAGAGGGTGGGGAGGGGGGGAGAGATAGCTGAGTCATGCCCATTGTAGACACCAGATCCTCAGATGAATGACTGCTTTCCCTGGGAGAGGCCAAGGATGCCTAGAGAAGAAAGCCAGGCATTGGGCTGGGTAGGCAAGGTAGGGCCACAGCCATTGGGTTTCAATCCATCTGTGGGCCTTGCTCCCTCCCTTAATGGCTGGGGACAGAATCTGAGCCTTTGAATCTTAATATTGTTTTTCTTTCAGGGCCCTTGGCCACTGTGCAGGCAGACGTACGCTGCTGGGGACAATCTCGGCATTGTCCGGAATGACCCAGCCCCCGCCTCTCCAACAGAACCTTCCTGCTTATTCCCTGCTGGCTCTCTTTCCCAGCAGAGACCAACAGTGCCCTTCTGTGGAGCTGCCCCATATCACGGGGCCTCTGGCCTGGAGCCAGAGTTGGAAGTCAATCTGAGTCGCCTGCCTTGTTTTCCATCAGCTGGCTCTGGATCCAGGATCACAGCATGGAGGGATGGAGATTACACCTTGGGGGTTACTGAAGTCAACCCTCCCATTTTACAGCTGGGAATGACTTGTCCAAGGTCACACAGGTGGCGGGGGAGGGGACAGAATCTGGATTTGAACTCAGGCCTTATTGGATGCTATGTCTTCTATTTCTGGGTGGATGCTAAGCAGCCTGGAGAGGTCAGCTCAGCAAATGTCTAAGAAAATGAAGATGAATCCCAACTTTTGTGTCTGCATGTGGCAAGGGTGTATATGATTCAGGCAATAACCTTGCACTCTGACTTCAACTAATTTGGTGCAAAGCATGTCTTTCTTTTCTAAGCAAGTGTGAGAAACACATTCTGAATACTTGAAGCACAATGTCGACAGTAACTCCCTACTCTCCATAGGATAAAAAGCAAATTTCTTAGTAATCCAAGTCTTCCACAGGGACAGCTGAATGATGCAATGGATAGAGTGCCTGGAGTCAAGAAGCTCTGAGTTCAAATCTAGCTTCAGTCACTTAACTGGCTATGTGTTCCTGGGCAAGTCGCTTAAAAAAAAAAAAAAAACCTAAATCTGCCTCAGTTTCCTCACCTGTAAAATGGAGATAATAATAGCCCTTATCTCCCAGGGTTGTGGTGGGGATCAAATAAGATAATAATTGTAAAGGCTTAGCACACAGTAGGTGCTATATTAGGCAGTTAGGTGACACAGTGGCTAGAGTGCCAGGCCCAGAGTCAGGAAGACCTGAGTTCAAATTCCTCCACAGACACTTACTAGCTGTAGGACCCTGGACAAGTCACTTCGCCCTGTTTGCTTCAGTGTGCGCCTTTAGCACAGAAGGCTGAATTTGGCATCAGAGGACCTGGCTTCCCATCCAAGCTTTGCCATATTGGTAAGTAACTTAGTAACTTAGAGGCTGGATTTGAACTCAGGTCTTCCTGACCCGAGGCCAGGCCCTCTATCCACTACACCTTGGCACATAGTAAGCACCTAATAAATGCTGGTGGACTGGACTGGATTTGCCAGGCCCTGTGCTAAGCGCTGCAGATACAAAGAAAGGCAAAAATAAGATTCCTGCCCTCAAGGAGCTCACATTCTAATGGAGAAGACCACCTGCCAATAACCAGGGACCTGACCTAAGTAGATGGAGTTGTGTTCATAATGTCTGATTTTGAGCTGGGAAGACCTTTGGAGGCTATGGGGTCTAGCCCCTCACTTCATAGATGAGAAAACAGAGGAAGGGAGGTTAAAGGTTTTGCCCAGGGTCACAAGGCTACTGAGGGTCAGAGGTAAGATATGAACACAGATCTTGATTCTAAGACCAGTGACCTCTCCACTAAAGCTCCCTGCCTTGGTTAGGCAAAGGCTGGAAATGGTAGGGAACCGTCCCTGAACCCCCTAGGGAGCAAGGCCATCTAGTTCAGGCAATCAGGCCAGTGTTACCCTACCCCCAAGGGTTAGGAGAGTAGATTCCCTTCCATCTTCTCAATACTCTATGCAACAGGGAGCATTTGAGCCCAGGGTCTACTGGCATCCCCTCTTGTACCCAAGAATTGCCATATCCTCAAGGCACCCTGGCCCAGCACAAGATAAACATCAACAGCTCTGGCCCTGGGTGGACAGTAGGGTCAGCCTGGCTCCCAGAGGAATGCTGACACCCTCTGGGGTCACCACCCTGGGAGCTGGCTGCATGGAGGGTGGATCAGGATGGCGGCAGATGCCTGGCATTGTCCTCCATATGTCCCCCAGTAAGCCTGGGCTGTCCAGGTAGGTCTTTAACCTTGACTATAGAATCACGGAATGTCCGAGCTGGATGTGACCTCAGAAAATATGCAGTCTAACCCTCCTCATTTTATAGAGGAGGAAACTGAGAGCCAGAGTGGGGAAGGGCCTCGTCTGTGATCACAGGGCTGGCTGGTGTCTCTGGTTCTTGGAAGGTTCTGAGAATGTTCTTAGTATTAGCCTTCAGTGAATTAGTGGAACTTTCCAGAGGAGGAGGCTTAGGGTGAAAGAAAGGAAGAAAACAAGCATTTATTAAGCTCCTACTATGCTAAGCTCTTTACCAAGACAATCCTGTTGAATGCTATTATTATCCTCATTTTAAAGTTGTGGAAATGGAGGCAGACAAAAGTAACATGACTTGCTCAGGGTCACACAATAAGTGTTTGAGGCTGGATTTGAACACAGGCCTTTCTGACTCCAGGTCTAGTGCCATAGCAACTGTACCACCTAACTTCCTTTAGGCCTTTATAGCTTCAGGAGTCCTGTCCAATACTTGCTTCTCCTTTGACAAGTATAGTCTGGCCCCAGCAGTGACAGAGAAAGTCTTTCCCCCTATGCTTGCCCTTTCATTTCATCAATACAATTGAGTACGTGGATGTTTCTGTAAACACTCATCTTGTTCAAAGGAGACGAACTGACTTGTAAATTGTCAGAGGCAGATTTCTAGCTTTCTGTTCTAAGGGCCCTGACATTCTGTGTTCTAAGGTCCCTCCCAGCTCTGACATCCTGTGTTCTAAGGATCAGCCCTTGATTATATCCTGCCATCTCTTTCCTATTTAGCTCTTTTGTATGGCTAAGTTGGATTTTGCCTTGAGGTTGGGGCATATGGCCAGCACAGGGCTGGACCTATGGGAGCTGCTCAGTAAATTTAAGTTGACTTGAGTGGTTGTCTAGAGGGAGATCTGGGGCTGTGGGTGTGGGAACTGGTGTGGACCAGGAGATTGGGGTCACACTCACTATCCACATAGAACACGCCCACTTTGTCGGAGTCGCTGATGGAAATGTAGAGAACCATCTCATAGCCTGCTGGGAGCTGACTGGGGCCGTTGGTCCTCAGGATCATCCGAGACATGTCCTTCAGGTCTGCAGGGGCACAGGGAGGACAGAGGATCAGTGATATGGGGATGTTGTCAGGGTCTCTTGGCCCTGTACCCTCTACCCTTCTCATTCCCCAGGAGTTACAAGCTAGAGGTTGAGGCCATATCTGTTCAGAGCAGGATAACCCTGCCCTTCTGTTCCCCTTTGGCTCCCAAGAAAAGGGAAAAAAAAGATGGTGTCTTTCCTTTCTCCTATCCCCAGGGAACATGTTACTCACCCTGCCCAAAGGACCCCTTGGAGCCATCTCTAATACCTTCTCTGGTGTAGATCTTGTTATCCGAGCAATCTTCCTTGGGCAACCAGGGGACCTCCCTGTCACAGTTCACCAGGAGGATGGCCCCATGGCCATCAGGGCCCCAGGTCCAGGATGCCTGTAGACGAAGGAAGCCAGGCCAACATGTGAGTAGCAAACCCCGTTCCTCTTGCACCCTGGAAGGCCAATACTTCCCCAGACTTACAACACTTGTCTTGTGATACCCATGCATAGGGAGATTTCATAGGATTTAGAGCCAGAAGGACCTTAGAGTCATCTAGATCGGTTCTTTAATTTTACAATGGAGGAAACTGAGGCACAGAGCAGGAAAAGTGACTGTGATTTGAACCTAAGCTCTATTTACCAATCCAGTGCTCTTCCCATAATACATACTGCTTTTGAGAAGAGTCTTCTCTGTGGGCCTCAGGGCCCAGAGAGAAGCTCCTGGTTGGCTGGGGTCTGAGGAGCAGAGGTAGGGTCAGTGGTCAGCTCCAGCTCTATTTTACCACCCTCGGCACTGAGAGACAGCACAGACTAAGCTAGAGATGAAGGGCATCCTAGCAGCAGCGTGATGAATGAATCAGGAGACTCGAGATCAAATCCTGGCTCTGACAGCAGCCGCATGACTGCAGCTCTGGGTCTCAGTTTACCCATCTATAAAACGGAACTAATAATACCTACACTAATCATTTAGTCCAAAAGCATTTAGAAAACTCCTACACTGTATGTGGCATTGTGGTAGGCCATGGGGATACCAAGACAAAATGAAAGTCTTTGACCTCAAGGACCTTACGTTTTATTGGGGAAGATAATATGCCCACATTGAAGTATGTATAGGATAATAGGATGTAGGGTATTTTGGAGGCATTAGTAGCTAGGGGATTAGGAAAGGAGGTAGCATCTGAACTGAGCTTTGAAGACTACTAAGCCTTGCAAAAGGTGGGAGAGAAGGGAATGCACTCCAGGCGTGGGGGACAGTTGTGGGGGAGGGGGAGAAGAGCCACAGAGATAGGCAATGATACACAGAAGTTCAAGGGTCTGGGTTCAAATCCTGGTTCTGCTGTGTACTGTATAATCTCAGAAAAAAAAACCCATTTATCCACTGTCAAGTTAGTTTTCCCATCTGTTAAATGGGGATTTTAAGATAGCTTTACCTCCCAGGACTATTGTAAGGCTCATACATGGGAAAGACCTTCACAACCTGTCAATTATAATCAGCAGCTGTCCTTACAGCACCATAGACACAGAATATCAGACTTAGGGGCTTTGGAATTCTTTTAACTCAACCCCTTCATTCTACGGGCAGCCAGGTGGCACTGCAGTGGATAGAGCACCAGGCCTGGAGTCAAGAAGACCCGAGTTCAAATCTGGCCTCAGACCCTGTGTGACCCTGGGCAAGTCACTTCATCCTGTTTACCTCAGTTTCCTCATCTGTAAAATGAGCTGGAGAAAGAAACAGCACACCACTCTAGTATCTCTGCCAAAAAAAACCCTCTAAATGGGGTCATGAATAGTCAGACACAACTGAAACGATTGAACAAAAACAACAGCCTCTCTACATGAGAGAAAATGGAGGATCAGAAACCTTAAATGACTTGGCCAATATACACAGCCAGATCACATCATGGTTAAACCTGAATTCAGATCTTCTGACTATCTACTATTCTTTCCATTACGCCAAGTTTTCTCCCTTATTATTAATAAATAATAGTATTCTTTGGGGACTCCATTTGGAACATAGTAGATAGAGGGCAGGATTTGGAATTCAGAAGACCCAAGTTCAAACCCCACCTGATAATCTGTAATCTAAACTAAACTAGCTGTTGGCAGTGATGCCCAAGGTTTTTATTCTTGGATCCCATTTCAATAACAACCACAAAATGTGTCATTAACTCTCAGGGTAATTTAGCATACTACTTATAATATTCTTTTAGTTTTATTCATTAAGTGCTTACAATAACTGCAATGGTTGCTTTTGCCCCCAAAACAGCAAAATAAAATTTACATCATATACTCGAAATTATAAAATAGAAAATTTCATTCTACTTATAATTATGAAAACTCTAAATAATAAAATTATAACACTCTAATTAGAAAATAATTACAAATATTTTATTTGGGATATTTTGCAAAAATTAAAAAGAAGCAATCCCAGCAAGACCCCATATGCTCACTTTATTAAATTGCTGTATTTCACAAATTTTGTTGGATGTAAATAATACTTTTTAGTAAAAATAAAGGTACAACACAACTGGGCAATTATTCACTGCTTAAAGCTCCATTGAAGAATTTTTAGCTTGAACTCCCTGGACTGTTATCTTGAACCCTTAAAGGAGACCTATTGGGCTCAGTCTCCTAGGCATCTGTGGAGGGAATTAGCTTCCTACACCAATAAAATAACAGAATTGGCTGACATATAGTATTTCACATTTTGAAAAACATTTTATATATTTCATTTCACTTGATTCTCACAGTCATTAGGATGTAAACAAACCTTCCTGAATGCCAGAAACTCTTTCTTTCTCTTTTGTCTTTGCATTCCCAGGGTTTAGCATGGTACCTAGCACTTAGTAGGTGCTTAATGAAGTCTCAATGGTTCACTGAATAACCCCGTGTAGCAGGCATTACACGTATTGTGTGTTTTTTATAGATGAGGAAACTGAGGCCCATTGACTTGCCATTAGTGATTTACCTGTGATTTATATAGCTAGTGTCAGAGGAGGGATTTGAAGTTAGGTCTCTCCTAACTCTAAAACCAATGGTTCCCTTCCTCTTTCCCCTGACATCGCCATGTTACCTCATTTCCTCATGGGAGCAAGGGGCTTAGGCGAGCTTTTCTAATACCTCCTCTTGGAGAAGGAGATTTGGTTCAAGAAAAGACAGGAAGTTGAACTAAAAGGGGATACTTCTGTCTGGGCACCACAGGTTCATAGATTTAGAACTGCGTGGGACCTCAGAGGTCCTCCAACACCTTCATTTTATTACTTTTTTAGTTGTTTTTCAATTAAGAAAAATCCACCTTCTCTCCTCCCACAACTCCCACCCCTACTCCCCCACCCCCATTGAAAAAGAAAGAAAAACAATAATCTTGTAACAAACATAAAAAGTAAAGTAAAGAAAAACAAATTCCCATATTGGCCATGTCCAAACAACGTCTCTGTCTACACCCTAGGTTCATCAACTCTCTGTCAACAGCTAGACAGCATGTTTTACTATGATTCCTTTGGCATCATGCTTGCTCATTGAGCTGATCAGAGTTCTTGCATCTTTCAAAGTTATCTATCTTTACAATGTTGCTGTTATTGTATACATTGTTCTCCTGGTTCTGTTCCCTTTACTCTGTATCCTTCCTACAAATCTTCCTAGACTTCTCAAAAACTGTCCTCTTCATCATTTCTTCATTTCTATACAATAGTGTTCCAATCTTTTCATTTTATAGAAGACAAAACTGGAGCTCAGAGTCCAAGATAGTATAAGTAGGTGGGATTTTGAATCTAGGTTCTATATAAGCCAATGAGGCCTGTGGTTCCTTGTCTAGAGGGGAGGGAGTATTAAGGTGCTAACCCCCAGCAATTTTGCAGTAAGGACTGGGGACTGGCTCTGCCTGGCATAGCACAGATGTCTCCCTTCTCCCTCTGGAAGGCAGGCCTGTCAGCTGGCTTTCTTTTATTGGGAACAGGGAAGGCACAGAAGCTGTCAGGGGGAGATCACGAGATGAGAAAGTTCATCAATCGCTTGTCTATATGGAGAAATGGAGTCCAGGAGAGGGGGCGTGATATACCCAAGGTCACATAGCCCATTTATGAAAGACTTGGACATAGGCCCTTGCCTCCCACTCCCCATTCAGCAATCCACCGTGCTTTAGGGTTACATAGACAGGCTTTCTTTTAATGTGTTCTGGCTCGAGACCTAGACAATGAGGCTTTTTACAGGGCAAGTTTCTATTTTGGCTGACTCTGGGAAGCACGATTTATTGGGTGCTAAATTGGAAAGGGCAACACTGTCCCTGGGGGCTGTGCTTTCTTTCATTCCTAACAGTCTTGTGACCTTTTCACTCCTTGGTGTATAGGTGGGGTGGGAAGATAGAGAGATGGCCGGGAGAGCACTGGACCTGGAGTTCTGGATATCTGGGGTCTAATTCTACTTCTGCTACTGATTTACCTTGGGACCATTACTTACATCCTCTGGGTCTGGTTTCTGCATCTGTAAAATGGGACCTCCCTGAAGACAGGGACTGTCTTTTCCTTCTTCAATCTGGGAGCTCCCTGAGGTCAGGGACTGACCATCTTTAGTCTATACCTCCCATCTAGACTATGTCTCTGACTCAGCTCCTTCGAACCCACCCTGGGGCCCAGGGCTCTTCATTGGTGAGGACATTCCATATCTGTCCGGACCCAGACCCAGCATTCTGCTCTCTGGCCATTTTCATGCCAGGGCTCCCCATACATAGGACCACCCTTCCCCTTCTTCATTTAGAAGTAATGTCTAGAAATAAAAATAATAGCTGGCATTTATACAGCACTTTAAGGTTTGCAAAAACACTGTACATGTTACCTCATTTGCTCTTCTAGAATATATGCTTCTTGAGGGCAGAGACTGTTTTTTTTAAAAAAATCTATATCCTAGCACCAAGGACAGTGCCAGGAACAGTTAGCATACTTGAAGGAAAAAACATTCATTCATTCATTCATTCATTCATTCATTCAGTCATGCATTCATGCATTCATTTCTCCCCTTTCAGTTTGGGAGCTTCCTGAGGCCAGAAACTTTGTTCCCCAATCTGTCCAAGACTGGGAGCACAGTAAAGGCAAGAACTCTACCTCCCAGACCAAGGCTCTGCTTACTGGGCTTATTCAGAGAAGTAAAGGGGAAATAAGCATTTATTAAGTGCCTACTATGTGCTAGGCACTGTGTTACAAACTTACAAATATTATCTCATTTGATCCTCATAACAGCCCAGGGAGGTAGGTGCTATTATTGTACCTACTTTACAGATGAGGAAACTGAGGTGAACAGAAGGGAGGTGACTTGCCCACAACCAGGAACTCAGTCTGGTCCTTGGTGTGGACCGACCCACTAGTCACTAGACCCACTAACCTGGGGAACTAAGTTACCATCCCCCACAGGGGATGGTGGTAACTAGAGTACTGACTTACTTTCTTAGGATTGTTCTTTTCCACGACTCCATCTCGGTCTGCGTCCACATCCAGGGAGATCTCTGGGAAGAAGACACAGACATTGAGTTTACTGTTCTGGCCTGTCAGGGGCTGTCCCTGGGCTGACAGACTGGGTGACCTGACAATGGGGAGGCCCTCACTTCTCCATTGGGAGTAGGAGGAGAGGCAGCTGCATCTCACTAGAATGATCTTCACTCTCTCTCTTCCCCGTGCCTCTTCTATTTCCCATGCTAGTGCTAGGAGGGTCTTTGTTGGAGTCATCTAAGTGAGCTCGATCTGATCTGAGTAATGACTGTGATCTAAAAGGGTTTTCCTCATAACAACCCTGGGATACAGAGAGTACAAACATTTTTATTCCCATTTTACAGATAAGGAAACCAAGTCCTTGTATCCCCAGTGACCAATAGTGGCTGGCATATAGTAGGTGTTTAATAAATGCATGTTGAAGCAATATTGTTAGATGAAGAACTGCGAATGACTTAGCTGTTCTCAGCAATGCAATGATCCAAGACAATCCCAAAGGACTAATGATAAAGCATACTATCCGTCTTCAGAGAAAGAACTGATATTGCTCGAATACAGACTGAAGCGTGCTATGTTTTCTTTCTTTCTTTCTTTCTTTCTTCCTTTCTTTCTTTCTTTTTCTCTCCCTCTCTTTCTTTCTCTTTTATTCGAGTCTTCTTGTACAAAATGACTAATATGGAAATGTTTTACTGATTGCACATGTGTAACCTATATCTGATTGCTTACCATCTCAGGGAGGGGTGAGAGGAGAGGGAGGAATAGAATTTGGAACTCAAAACTTAAAAAAACCAAATGTTTAAAAATTGTTTTAACGTGTAATTGGGGGAAAATAAATATATAATCTTATAATAAAATTAATATTATAAACAACATTAATTTAATAAAACCAATAATTGAGTTATAACAAAACAAATGTTATTTATAAACCTAATTAATATTACATATATTATATAATTATTATATAATCATACCATAGTAATTATATGGTAATGTGGTAAATACTTGAAATTAATTATAATGAAATTATTATATTATAATAAGCTATATAATATAAAACAATTTTATATTATTTATTATATAATCTAATTATTTATATTAATTATTATAATTATAATAAGCTATATAATATAAAAAATTATACATATATATGCCTGTTGATTGATTGAATTGTGCAGAGATAGGAATCCATGAAAGTGGGAATGCCCATTTAGGAACTAGGGAAAATCAAGTAATTAATATTATTGAATCCTCTAAGGTCACCTAGCTAGTCTCAGAATCATGACAAGAATTGGGGTCTCAGGACTTCTGAGTCCAGTGTCCTCCTCACCAGACCTCACTACCCCTCCACCCAGACTGAAATCGGTCCCCTTAGCACTTTAAGGTCTACCTAACATTTTTCCTCATAAAACCCCACTGAAGTAGGTAGACCCATTTAACAGATGAGAAAACTAAGGCCCAGAGAGTTTAATGGAAATCTTTGCAGCTATGCAAATGCTGAGGAAGAGATTGCTGCTCAGGTGTGAAATAGACTACATATCCTCAGAGTTCCCTTCTGATTCTGATTGTCAATGATTCTTAGAAGGGACCATGGAGAAGAAGAACCTGGTCATGGGCTCCTGCCCAGGAGACATGCCCTTCAACTGGGCAGGACCTGGAGCCTCTTACATACAGTGGAGATGGGAGCCTTTCTGGGTCAGTCCTGTTGGCAGAGGCTCCTACCCCTAAGGGTGAGGGAGAGGAGGAGGGTCCTGGCACAGGAGGGAAATGAGGTGGCTGCCAGCCAAGGAGGGCTCTCTCAAAGAGATGGATTTCTCCCACAAATGGTTCGGAATTTCTGCCTAGTGCACTGAGCATTGTGCCCTTCAAAGTGGTTTCTGTGGGACCTTTGGGAACAGTCTTCAGAACCATGCTTATCAGCCACATAGGAGAGCTTCTCTTATTTGTGATATATTAGAAGGAGCACTAGATTAGGAGTCAGAGGGCATGGTTTCAAATTCCAGCTCTGCCATTTGGTAGGTATGTGACCTTGGGCCTCAGTTTTCCCCATCTGGAAAATGGGAGAGTCTCAGAACATTCTACGATGTGTTTACATTCATGATTGTGTTCTGACTTCATATGGTGGTCCCCAGTCTGCTTGCTGGTCTAGAATGTCATCCCTCCTTACCTTTGCCTCTTAGACACCTTAGTTTTCCTCAAAACTTAGATCCAATGCCATCTTCTACAAGAAAACCTTTCTTCATTATCCTGTCTCCAGGAAGCTGCTAGTGCCTTCCTCACAAAATATTTCCTGCCAATTTTGGATCTAACCTCTATAGGTACAGACTGTCTTCTCCAGCTAGATTGTAAGCTCCTTGAGGGCAGGCTTTGTTTCATTTTTGTCTTTCTCTCTCTAGAACCTTAGCCTAGAGCCTGACACATAGTAAGAGTTTAATAAATGCTTTTTGCTAGGTTGACTGAAGTCACTTAGCTAAGGTCAAATAGGATATGGCTGGGCCAAGAATCAAACCCAGGCCTGGAAGCCTTAAGTCACTAGTCTGGTCTCTACACCCCCCTGTATAGCTTCCTGAAAGTTCTTCTTACTGCATTAAGAGAAACCTGGTGTCCAGAGCTCTAGCGCCTCATGGCCAGCTGTTTCCAAGGTTTCCAGGGCTCTCGTATGTGAAAGGGGAATTAGGCTTATTTTGCTTGGCCCCAGAGAGCAGCACTGGGAGCTATCCTGGGGCGGGTGAGGAGGGAAGTGCAGAAGGGGCGATCTAGCCTTAGCTTAAGGAAAAACTTCCTCACTTGTCATTAGATCTATCCAAGAGCAGAACCAGCCAGGCCAGGGACTGGGAGATTCCTTCCCTGAAGACTTTCAAGGAAAGCCTAGATGACCACAGTGGATTGGGATATTATGTTGTTGGGGAAATTCAAATTCAGGGGTGGGTTGGGCAGCCACCCCCCTCCCCTTCCCCAGCCCTACCGGTGCTGAGCCTTTGTGTCTTCCTTAAAGGCACAAAGCCCAACTATGGAGTAATGGAATGAGCACGTATTTGAAGGCAGGGGACTTGAGTTGAAATCTTGGCTTTAATAGTGTGATCTTGGCTAAGTCATGCTCCTCCTTAGCCTCAGTTTCCTCATCTGTAAAATGGGAATAATGATTGTTTATAACCTCCCTGCCCCAGCCATGGGACTGCTTGGGAGCAAATCATTATGGAAATACAAGTTGTTATTATTATGATTATTATTGTGTTTGTTTTGTATGGTTCACTAACACTGTCATATCAGTTTATGTACTTACTTTCCTTCCCATCCCACTTCAATCATCCCCTTACAACTCCTTCCCCTACTGATCTGGTCTTGGTGGACCACCTTACCAGTATGCACAACCATAGGGTCATAGATTCAGAGCTAGAATGGAGCTTAGAGGCCATTGACTTCACCCCCTTCCCATTTTACAGATGAAGAAACTGAGGCTCAAAGCAGTTAAGCAACTTTCCCAATGCCCCACAGTTAATAAGTGTCTGAGGTGGAATTTAATTCTATGTACTATTCTAGTAGCCCCAAATCCTATTCTTGTGACTTCTTTGACGCTCCTCATTAGGGATTGACTGTAAAATATAGAGGAAGTAGGGAGGGGGAGGCACACTAGTCTCACCTCCTTGGAGGCTGCCCCTGCCCCCCCACCCCCATCTTTTGCTTCTACATTTGTGTTTGCGTGTGTGTGTGTGTGTGTGTGTGTGTGTGTGTTTGTGTGTGTGTGTGTTGGAGGTGGTGGTAGGACAAGCCTGGGGGAATTTGGCTTTGGGGCCTCCCAGCCCAGAGATAGATTTTCCAAAGGCTCTGGCTCCTAGGTCAGCTCCCCAAAATAGTCCCAAGGTGTCAGGTGGTACACCCACCAGCAGTGGGCAGATTAAAGGGAAATGTCAAGGGGATTGGGTTCGGGGTAATGTGGGGGGTGGGGATGGCACGAGAGGCTGCTGCCTCCCTGCTTGCCTGGGTTCCCTCTCTTCTCTCCTCAGCCTCAGAACTCAAGGTGCTAATACCCTACCACAGATCTGACCTCCCCTGCTCCCCACCATGGCCAGGTGCCCAGCTCTCTAGCTTCCTGGGGCAGAAGGAAGGCCTGGCGACTGTTATGCTAGGTGATGGGGGGCAATTCAGTGCTAACCCTGGGGCTGGCAAATTAGGGTAATCATTCTGGCCTGGCCCTGGACTTTGTGGGCAGAGGACATGGACATACTACTAGCCTAGAAGACCCCATCCATGACCAAGGCAAGGCCCCCATGTGGCAACTTGGCTCTGAAACCAAAAGACTTCAACTCCAACCCCAGTTCTGCTGCTTATTAATTAATTGTGTGATCTTCAGTAAGCCACAACCACTCTGGGCCTCAGTTTCCCCATCTATAAAATGAGGCAGTTGGGCTAGAGGACCCCTGGGGTTCCTTCCCACTCTAAATCTATGATCCCATGATCTTTCCTGTTTTCATACTGACTATAGGTCACCCTCTGTGTATTCTAGGATTGCCTTCATTGGGTTAACTAGTTTGGGGGAATGCTGTGGGGGAAGGTCGGTACTCAACATACTTTTGCCACAAGACTGAGGCTTCCGTAGAAATAACCCTGCCCACTGTCCTCCTCCTAATAGGAACATGTTAAATAGTAGGAAAGTCAGGGCATAAATCCCAATACTGACCTCTCCGAGCCTCAGTTTTCTCAGCTGTAAAATGGCAATGAGGGGCAGGATGGTGTAGGATAGTAGGCAGAGCTGGCCTTGGAGTCAGGAAGACCTGGCTTCACATCCCTTCACTGACAAATAATGGCTGTGTACTTCGAGCAGTTCATTGAACTCAGTGCCCCATAGATAATTCTCCAAGACCAGTTTACCCTGCCTATAGCTTGTTTAGATATATTTGTTTGCTCATTGTCTCCTCTGTTAGATTGTAAGCTCCCCAGAGTGCAGGGACTGTCTTTTGCCTCTTTTTGGACCTGCAGCCCTTAGCACAGTGCCTGGCATATAGTACTTGCTTCATAAATGTTCATTGAATGAGAAATTGCACACCTTTATCAGTTATAGCTGGTCTACATGCTATATGTAGCATGTTATATTATATAATATTATACTTACTATATACATATACATAACTGTACATATATACTTATGTATATATGTGTGTGTATGTGTGTGTGTGTATATATATATATATATATATATACATATACACATATACGAGTTATCTGCTAGTCTACATTGGTAACAGAAGTTTCTCACTGGGAGCTCCCTTCACTTATGAAATCACGTTTGATCCAAAAAACGAAAACAAAAAAAAGATAATATTTGTACTCCCTCCCTCCCAGGGTTGTTGCAAAACAAGTGCTTTGTAAATAAAGCCCCAAATGTATGCTATCAAAATGTGAATGTGTTTAAAACCCACCCTTCCTTAATTGCAGAGGAGGAGGACTATGGGTGCAGAGTATTATATATACCTTGAGTCACTGTCTATATATTGGTTGCTTTGGGGGAACTTTTTCCTCTAAAAATTTATTATAAGGGATAGCTTCCTTATTACTTTCACTTCTCAGTGCGCTAGGCAATTAATTTCTTTTTATTTTTTAAATGTTTATTTATTTATTTTAAGGCAATTCTTTAGTCAATCAACAAGCATTTATTTATTTATTTATTTTTTAGGCAATTGGGGTTAAGTACTTGCCCAGGGTCACACAGCTAGTGTCAAGTGTTTGGTCTGAGACTGGATTTGAACTCAGGTCCTCCTGACTTGAGGGCTGGTACTCTATCCACTGCACCACCTAGCTGCCCCCAACAAGCATTTATTAAGCCCTTGCCCAGTGTCAGGCACCGTGGTAAGCACCAGGGATACAAAGAAAGGCAAGGGTCCCAAGTTTTAGCCAAGTTGCCAGCATGCATTGGTGGAGGGCATTCTTTAGATCTGTGAAATCCCAAAAGAACTGATCAATCAGCATTCATTAAAGATCTGCTGTATCCTGGCACTGTGGTAGGTATTAGGGGCATCCAGAAAAAAATTCAGCATTCCCTACCTTCCAAGAGCACCTGTGAAACCTTAGTGATCCCATCTGATCCTCTCAAGAGCCTTTCAGATATTATTATACAATATTAGAAATATTGTACAATATTGTGATACAATATTGTACAAATATTATACCCATTTTGTGGATGGAGCATATGAGACCAAGAAAGGTGAGATAATGTACTTGAAGACACATAGTAAGAAGGAACAGAGCTGGGGTTTGAGGCATTAGGAGTCCCAGGCCTCCTGACTCTAAATTCAGGGATTTTCCACTCTACCCGCTTCCAGGTCACATTCCAGAGGGTGACTGGGGCCTATGAACTTTGCGAGGTTAGTGTGTACTATTTATTGGGCCAATTTATTGGAGTCTTATTTCTGGCTCTTCTCAAGTTGACTTGATTACCATCCAGGCAGCAGGGCTGTCCCTTCTTCAAGTTATATTCTCTCTATCTCCTCACCCTTTCCCCAAGCCCTTCCCCCAAATGGAGACTCAAGCCTCCTTGTGGAACAGTAGGACCCACCGAGGAGGAGAGAGATGGGTGGGATTTGGGATCTTAAGGTCATAGATTTAGAAGGAGCTTTAAGAGCATCTGGTCTAACCCCTTCCCTTTAGAGAGGAGGACTTGCCCCAGGCATGCAGGTGGTATCAGGGTAGGAATCTGAATGCAGAGCCTCTGACTCTGAATGCCACTTTTTCTCGAGCATCCTAGTGGATTCCATGTCTCCCGCCCTCCGACTGTTATCTGGATGACAGGGGTGGAGTCCAAAACTGCCTCCTAGGAACACATCCTGGGAGACATTAGAAGCCATAGATTCTACCAGCTGGAAGGTGATGATGGTCTCAGGAGACCATCTAGCCACCTGTCCAGGGCAAGGACGATTTTGGGGGCTATAGTTTCCCTTCATAAGGGGTCAGATAAGCTGCTGGAACACCTCACAATAGGAGGTGTTCGGTAGTGGAAGGAACAGTAGCCTGGAGCCAGAGGGTTTGGGTTCAAATCTTGCCTCAGAACCTTGCTACCTGGATAACCCTTCAAGAGGGTCCAGTGGAAACAGCAGGGCCTCTGCTCTCAGAGGTTTGTTGTTATTCAACTGTTTCAGTCATGTCCAACTCTTCGTGACCCCATTTGGGGTTTTATTGACAGAGATGCTGGAGTGGTTTGCCATTTCCTTCTCAGGCTCATTTTTACAAGTGAGGAAACTGAAGCAAACAGGGTTAAGTGACTTGTCCAGGGTCACACAGCTACTATGTGTTTCAGAGGAACTGGGTCCAAATTCATCCTCTATCACTACCTCTGCGACCTTGGGCTAGAGATTTAGTCTTCTTGGGCCTCAGTTACCCTAAATGTAAAAATGACAGGAATGAACTAAATGGCTCTGAGGTCCTTTCCAACTTTAGATCTGTGATCCAAGCGACTTCTCTGAGACTCAGTTTATACATCTGCAAGGTGGGCATAATAATCCACACGTGATCTTCGCCATGGAGCTATTTGAGGAAAGTGGTTTTCTAAACTTTAAAAGTGTTTTCAAAATGTGAGCTCAGGGCATGGACTGTGCCATGACTGTGCTGTTTTTCCTGATATCAGGCTGAAATTTGTGTCCCTGTACCTCCGTCCCCAACCCGCTGGATTCTTTCTCCACAGGCCACACTGCCCAAGTCTGTTCCCTGTGCCCCACGACAGAGCTCTTCCCAGCCATGTTCAGAACAGGGTCACGGGGAGATTACGTTTCTGAAAGGGTGAGTTAGGGCTGTTACCTGAGACAGCTCAGTTCCTATGCCCATTGAGTTGGTCACTGCAGCTCTGATGGCTACCACCCTGGGAGCTCTGGTTACACTCCCTCACATCCCTGGTCTGGCTACCACTGTTCCTGTCCTCACTGACGTCCCTCTTTTCTTTCTGTCTGTCCACAGTGACCAGCATGAAGAGCTAGAAATCTGGGGTGGTTAGCTCAGGGGAGTCACTGGTGGAGCCCTGGCAGAATGCTCTGGGCACCAGAGCCCCTAGCCAAGGAGCACCGGGCACTACTTGTATCCCCTGCTGAGTCTGAATTATTCAGGAGAAGTCTGTAGAACCAAAAAGCTGCCTGTGCCAAATCTGATTGGAAATGGTGTCAGCTGTCATTAACTCGATGAGTGACCATGAATAATCTCAGGGCCTCTGTTTGCTCATCTATAGAATGGGGGGGATTGGAATAGATGGTACCATTCCATTGTGACATTCTACATTCAAACAATTCACGTTCTGAGGGTCTTCCCAGCTGTGACATTCTCTGTCCTAAGGTCCCTTTCTAGTTCTGATATTCTCTGTTCTAAGGTCCCTTTCCAGTTCTGACGTTCTCTGTTCTAAGGTCCCTTTCCAGTTCTGACGTTCTCTGTCCTAAGGTCCCTTTCCAGTTCTGACGTTCTCTGTCCTAA